TTTCCAGCCCACCCTGGTGGCGATGGGAAGCTCCGGAAAAGCTCCAAAATTGGCGTGTTGGGCATCAGCAACTCCCCTAGCGGTGCCAACAACTCGGCTTCTGCCACGCTGCCAGCTCGTTGCCGGGACCATCCGTGTTGCCACCAGTTGGGGCACACAGTAGTCGATCGACTTGGGAATCTCTGCTGCAAACATCTTGCCGCAACCCTCATGGTAGCTGCTGAGGAGCGAACATTACATATATATATATATATTGTTTATTGTTATATTATATGGTTCTTGTGGATTTTGACCATCGCAGTCTTTGTATTGTTTTTTGTATTTCTCAAAATGCAAATTGATTCTTGTGGACTTTGACCAAGGGCAGGCTTTGAACAGGTAAACACTCTATATATCTGTATTTCTCAAAAAGCAAATCGATGCACCCCAGTCTCTACAGAATCCCCTGTAGTTGATTTTGGGGACCGGTGCAGACTCATGAGACTCATCTGCTTTGAGCTCATCATACTGTACTCCATGTTGAGGTATATTGATTGCTCAAGTTGGGTGGGTCGCTATGAACTGTCTTTGACTATGCACCTAGATTGTCTAGAGTCTAGAATATTGTTGGTCGGTCTGAAGTAGGTATTGTACAAACCACTTCGCCATGCTATTGCAAAGCAAATACATCAACTGCAATGACATTCATCAACGGCCTACAAATGAACATCAGCCCGGTGTTAGGCCCAATCTGCTTCTGACTCCTGACAGCAACTTAGAACAGTGACCACAATGAACAAAACATCCAGGAAGGACCTTCAAACCTGGCCCATGCGGTGAGGAGTCTTGGCTAGCGGCTAACTTCTGCTCTCGGCCTGTAAACCATGAGGATGAATATTATGCTCTTTGTTTGCACCACAAAAGCATCATCAGTGGCTCACAGGACAATGATACCAGCCAGTTTAGTGTCTGTTGAAGAGATACAAGGTTTGTGTCCCCTCTTTAAACCATGACCACCGACCTCAGCAAAAAAACGCAAATTACACTCCACAGAATCCTTGGATTTGGTATGCTTTGGTAAAGCAAATCGCACTAAATCGCACTCTATCCTCGATCATTGAACTGGTTGAACAAAATGGGTTATACAGTTATACATGGTTGTACAATACAGTACTAGTTCTACATAAGGTATACAGTACTAGTCCAGTACTACATAATTGCAACAAACATGAGGGAAACAGAGGGATTGAACATCGATGAAATGAAACTGATGAGTCAAGAACATCTCATTAGTCTCCTAGCTTGTAGACCCAAAGTGCCCAAAGGTCTCCCAAGCATCCACCCTGGAGGAAACCTGCGAGGATGTGGGGTTTACCGGCCCTGTCCCCGATCCTAAGTTCCTTTTTAACATCGAAGATCCAAGAGGGTTTTGGCAACTCTTACAGGTCGCAAAGACCCGGCATCTTTCGGCAACTGACCCAGCTGGGGAAATTTGTTCTGGTCCAGCTGGTGAATCTAATGTTAGTCCTTCCACATCTCTAGCAGGTCTTAACCTACCTTCCAAATCCCTTCGGCGCATCATGGCACATCACATCCGCAGCAGGTGATTGAATTTCCAAGGGTTGGGCCAGCCCCGGATGGCCGTGGCAAAGCTAACACTGATCCCCCATCCAACGACTAGAGAAGAAAGTCGCAAAAACCTTGGGCTGACAGCAGTGCTTCCATCCCATGAATGATCTTTGCTTCCAAGGTCCTTCATGACAAACTTTGGATTTGTTTCAGGATCTTGGTACAGCAATGTGGAGTGACTACCAAGGATGAATATCTCGTCGAAGCGAAGATCAGCGTGAAAAGCGTTTCTCGAAGGCAGGCGTTGGAAGGCAAAGTGCGCTGGTCAGTTTCTCTGTTTGATTAAGCTCTGCAAGAACACTCAGCCTTTCAGTCAGTCGCTGGTGGCTGTAACTCAGGATTCTGGGGTTTCTGGCAATGAGCTGTCCAGCTTTAGTGGGTCCAAAGGCTGCCAAAAGCAAACAATACTTGGGTTTTAGACTCTTGTCGATGCTGAGGCCTAGAAAGCTAGGAAAACTGGCAACCGCTGCTGCGACTTGACTCTGGCTAAGGCCTACATGCAACAGCCACTGCGCTGTTGGCTTCAAGTTCTGCTCAAGGCTGCACCCAAGCACTGCAGGGTAAGCAGCCACGGCCTTTGCAACTTGAGCCTTGTTTAAACCCAAATCCACCAGCCACTGAACTGTTGGCTTCAAGTTCTGCTCGATGCTGAGTCCAAGCGTTTGAGGGAAAGTGGCCACAGCCTTGGCAACTTGAGCCTTGTTTAAACCCAAATCCACCAGCCACTGGACTGTTGGCTTCAAGTTCTGCTCGATGCTGCATCCAAGAATTGTCGGTGAAAAGGCAACCACCTTCGCAACCTGAGTCTTGCTCAAACCCAAATCCAGCAGCCAACCGACTGTCGGCTTCAAGTTCTGTTCGATGCTATATCCAAGAATCTGTGGTTTGATGGCCACTGCCTTGGCAACTTGAGTCTTGCTCAAACCCAAACCCAGCAGCCAATCGACGGTCGGCTTCAAGTTCTGCTCAACGCTGAGTCCAAGGATTGGTGGGTAACCAGCGACCACCTTGGCAACTTGATCATGGCTTAGGCCAATATGTCGCAGCCAATGCAACTTAGGCTTCAGTTTCGTCTCGATGTGTTGCCCAGGTGACAAGGAGCTTTTCAGCAGTAGGTCAATACACTTTCTGGAGAACCCGTCATTGTCCAAAAACATTGCAATGTCCTCTAATGAATGTCCTCCCCTTGCAATAGATGCTGCTTCAGCAAGACCTCGGGCAGCGTTCGATACGTGCACTGTACCAGTTTGTCTCTGCATCTGCAACTGCCTCAATGTCTTCTCGTCTAAAGCCTTGTTCAGTGCATCAAGCATGTGTGCCAACACATGGTTGAAGGCACCCAACAGTTTCTTGGAATTACCTCCACGCCAGGTGTCTACGCAAATCCAAAGAACGGTTTCATCAGATTCTATGTCCACAGGTTTGCAAAGTGTGTGGCTGATGCGAATGACTTTGGAACCAGTGGGGGCAAAGTCTAACAAAGCCGCGTTCTTCAACTGGTCCATGTCAATGCCTGCCTTTTCCCCATGCCGCCAGTAGCCATCATATTCTATGAACAATGCAGCTTCTGGGTCCTTCAACACCCCGTGAGCTGCCAAATCCGGCTCCAAATAGTTTCCAGCCCACCCTGGTGGCGATGGGAAGCTCCGGAAAAGCTCCAAGATTGGCGTGTTGGGCATCAGCAACTCCGCTAGCGGTGCCAACAACTCGGCTTCTGCTACGCTGCCAGCTCGTTGGCGGGACCATCCCTGTTGCCACCAGTTGGGGCACACAGTAGTCGATCGACTTGAGAATCTCTGCTGCAAACAGCTTGCCGCAACCCTCATGGTAGCTGCTGAAGAGTGACTAGCATATGATTCTTGAACACTTGAAACATGCCTTTGCTCTGATATTGGCCTTATATTATTGGAGTTCCGCAAAATGGTCGGTATCTGTCTGTCTAAACCAAATCACAAGGAATTGAACACATAGACTCTAATATGTTGATTCATGCGAGTGTCCCAGTACAAGCCATATGGCTGCGGAGACGCAAGTCATGCCATGATGCACAGAATCAGAATGTTCCTTTCTTCTGGAGTTCATCAACTGCACTGATAAGTGTGGCTTTGCCGTATTGCTCAAGTATGTCGTCGCTATGATTGGTTTCTGATCAAGCAGTTAGAACTTAGAACGTGGATTGTTGCGGAGTCTTAAAGGAGTCCACAGCTCCCTCTCTCTCTCTCGTTGCAAGCGCACCTATGTTCACTTATTGTCTGACTCAAATTACTCAAATTGCTTCCCCCGTCCACCAGCTGGACGTACCTAGCGCTTTCCGCGCCGCCGCCAGCCTGGCTTTGCGTCACTTGCTCCTCCAGATTTGCCACCCGCACGGTCACCTGCTCGGTCAGCTGCTTTGCCTCTGTGGTCAACGGCTGGAAGGTCTTCTGGAGCTCCTGAAGCGACGACCGGCCGTGGAGAGAGTGAAAAGACACCTTCAAACATGCCTGTAATCTTTGGAAGGAACCTACGGGAACACTTAACCTATGCAGCGTGGATTCTATGCAGCGTGGGTTCTATGCATAGGAATCGAGAATTTGTCAGAATCTATTGGATAATTCTAACTCTATGCATTAGCTGTTTCACCTAGGTCAGAGCACTTCTTCTGACCAATCCAATCCTCCGTCGCCACTTTGTGGGTCAGGGACTCGATCCTCTGGTCGTAGCCTGGGCGGCAAAGTTCGTGTATGCTCCAAGAAGTATGAACAGGGAACCCCGAAACCACTGGGTTGGTATTCGGAAAATGGAATGGTCTTCCACAATTCAATTCTCAGGGGGTACAAAGGCATGACTGTGGTCTGCTGACCTTTTCCAGGGAAGGACGCATGAGAGAGTTGTTGTACAAACAAAAATCACCCGCAGGACAAGTGGATTTGCCCTATTCAAAAACTGGTTCTTTCCTATAGACAAATCGAGAGGTCCAAGATGTATTCAATCAAGTTCCACGACTTTCGTCGTTCCTTCTCCGCTGAGCTCTACTATAAGATTTACATCCTATAGAATATTTTATGGCAGTCCACCCTCTCATCTTTTGCTCAGTTTATGCAGGTGCACGGACTAAGTACGTCTCACATTGTCAGATCTTTTATTGTACGCACTGCCAAATCTGAAATTGTGAAGCCACAAGGACAACATAGAGTTCCCCCTGATCATGATCTTCCTTTAATTATCTTCCAAGATCACCGGAGTTCATTGTGGCTCGCAGTTTCTGCTGCGCAAAGCTTCCCAGAAGCTACCCACAAAATGACAGAACATCACAGATAGGTCGCCCTGAAGAGCATTCTACAGACTTTCATCCAAGCGGCGGCTCAAGACTTGTTGCACCTCCTCCTGCCTGCACAAATCTGTCAAAACCGAGATACGGTCAAACGGTCCACCGGTCATGAGCCTGCTCCCCTCACTACGATCGGCCTTCTTCAGATATACACCTTTTTGGGAAGGCGAGTCACTTGCGAACCACGTGCAAAGGGTCTGAGAGTACCTTTGAGACGAGAATGCGTTGGATTATATTCGATTAAACAAGTCCTAGCGTCTAGCGTAGAACAAGCTTGGTTTTTTACACCGAGAGGTTCCAAGGTAGCAAATGCTCGGCCAGCATTGTTTCCTCTTTTGTGGGACATTGGTAACTTAACTTAGGTGTATATAGGAAGTAGATGATGCGCGCAAAGGCGACATGCGATCTTTCTCCAACACTAACCGCCAGTAAAAGGAAACAGCAAACTATCGGCGCGGCCTCCAAGTCTCCAGCAGCTTCAGCCGACGCTCCTGTCGGACCAGGTTGCACGGCTCAGATAGGAAAAACAAAAACGGTTTCTTCCATCCAAAGCGTCTCAAAGCATGCAAGTACAGAGTGTATTGACTGGTTTTGCCCCAAACACCATTCCTATTACCTCAACCGTACAAATGTCAAAGATCATACAAAGGAGGTATCCGGAAGAAGGTACAAGACCCTTCCGAATTGACCGTCGCTCAGAGGCACGAACTGATCGACCGCTTCGCTGTCGTCGAGGTCCGATGAGCAGAATCCCACATGAAAATGCATGAAAACCATACACGATAGGGATCCCCCCCATATTCTCACACTATAGTGAGAGTCTCATGAAAACCGTACACAAAAGGGGAGAGTCTCACACTGTTCAACAACAAATGATTTGTTAAGTAGGACAAATGTTCGACAAATGCTCAACACTCTCCAATGGTGCAAACGTACACCTTGAGGCCTTCTTCTGTCGTTTGCGGGTCACCAGCCCAGAATTCACCAGGTGCAAATCAGAACTTGGATGCAATGGGGTGATCAGCCACTAACAGCAGTGACTCAGTTCCAAACCTCCTTTTCCACATGAAACAGGCATTCCTGAAATCAAGTTTGTTCCAGCGACATCTGTCGACGGTGGCTCCTGGTCAAGTGCGTCTTGTGCTCTTCGAGAGGCTGCAAGGTCATCTGGCCATGGCGATTTGTGAGGTAACAAGTGCTAAGGAGGTATTGTCGCCCGAAGGAATGTCCAAGTGGGTGAAATGATGTCCTCAACCGAACTCACGGCACCAATTCCAAGTAGCGACTTCTGTTCAGGGCTCATAATCTGTCTTGTCAAAAGCAAAGTCATGCAAAACCAAACGAGTTCTGAAAGGTGTATATTAATATTATATTGACTTGGAGGATTTTCTCCAACTTGTAGGGAACCTAGGTGGGCTGCAAAAAGGGAACACTTCCAACAAAATTCCTTTTCCAATCCCAAGGCCCATAATGATCCACAGGCTCTATCTAGTTTCAACTCGATCAATTTCTGATCTCGGACAGTCCAACTGTAAGTAAAAACATATGTATACATCTGAAATTGGAAGGTCTCCAACAACAGGACTCATAAGATGGTTCAGAACCCAGAAACTGATCGGGACCGTGAGCCGCCGCTGCCGCCCTCCTCCCGCCCGAAGCCGTTCCGCTCTGGGGGGCTCCTCCCGCGGGTCATGCCTTGCAGCGCCAGCAGACTTTGGGCGCTACTGCTGACCTTCGCCTAGCGCTGTGGCGGCGTGGTCAGACTGGGTGGTCGGACTGGGTGGTTTGAAATGGTGTGGAATGGATAGAGAGAGTTGTGTTGAGTTGGAAATTGCAAAACAGAAGAAACTGGATAGAGATCTCCGGTCCCTAACTTCCACCATAGTGCCTTCAAGTGAAATGGTGTGGAAATGGAGATTAGAGCTAAGTACCAGCTTCTTCAGTCCGTGACCAGGCCTCATAGAGACCTCAAACCAGGATATCAAAAGGTAACTTTAGAAGAACCAGGTAGATATCATATTCCATTGAATGTCTCATGGTATGTCGGGGATAGGCGTTCTGTGGAGATGTGAAGAACCACAAGAAGAAGCAACTTTTGTTGTTTAACAGTTTAACACCTGTCGCAAGAAAAAACACTTAGGCCCCTGCTAAAAAAACAAGTTTCATTCAGGTTTTCCTACCTGGACCTTCAAGGATTCCACCCAAAGTTGTGGAGGTCATAGGTCCGTTTGGTTACATCATGTCCCATGTTCTTAGACTTGACTGGTCACCCTGCCCAAGCTTTATTGACCTATAGTGCTACAATCCCTTTCTAATCCAGCTAAGGGTTTGGTCCTTCTGACGTGCATCCAAGGACTCAGAAGGGTCAGATGGGTGTGGAATAGCAACTTGCGGGAATTCCACAGCTCCTCCATCTGGGACTTTGAGAATTCAGCCAAGGTTACCAACATAGGTGCAGGGATCTGGGAAGCCAGGGGGATTCTCAACTGTGTCGACTTCCAACGAACAAGACTTCGAACAAAAACCAGACTTCTGACGTACACCCAAGGTGGGTCTGGAAGTCAGGGAATTCAGCCCAGGTTACCAACTTAGGGATCTGGGAAGCCTGCAGGGGATTCTCACGTCTGTGTCGACTTCCAACGAAAAACACGTTGAAACGAAACCAGACTTCCTCCTCCTGCTGCCCCCAGTTCCTGCTCAGCCCTCGGCCTCCAAGTCTTCGATGCGCTTCACCTCGAGAGAGCGCCGAGCTCCGAGCGAGAGCTTTTGAGTCGGCTGGCAAAGGGGATGTCTTGGCTCTTTGGTTTCATGAAATAGTGTATAGAGTCATAAAACATAAGACCATGAATTTGCGGGATCAGTTCTTTTGAGGAGATTTGTGGGATCAGTTCTTTTGCGGGATCAGTTCTTTTTCTTCATCCACAATGAACCAAACAGTTGGCACTGCGGCTTGGCGTGCGGCTGGGGTGACACTTTTGGCTTCTCTGGAGGCCGCGGGACCTTTGGTGGGACCGACCTGGTGCTGTTAAACCTTATTGGTTCAGCCTTGAGGACGGGGAACACTGCAAGTTGGTCTTTTAAAACATGTAGAAGCACTCACTCAAATGGGGCCAAGTCAGCTGACATGTTTCGTAGATACATACTTCTCCCAAACCTATGTGACGCGTGTGAGTTGACAAAGGATCCCAAAGACCCGCTGGAAGAGCAGAAAAAAACTGAATCACAGTGGTCAAAGGGTCTCCGTACTCCACACCCATCCTGCTTTTTGAATCACCAATGCCTCCAGGTGGGTGATCCCACCGCTGTGGTTTCTTTGTCAAAAGACCAACGCCTCCAAAAAGGTCACTGGAGAACCTCGTCCCACGTCCGAGGGCCAAATACTTCTGTCTTTTGGCTCTGCCTGCAGACAAAGGCTCTCCCTCAAGGCTCTAGAGAGTGGCATTCCAACTCCAACCCCAAGCATGAGATTGGTCATGAACCCATTCCAGGTGACATCGCAACATCACCCTCTGGTCGTGAAACAAC